GACTAGCTGAATCATAGTTCTAAAGCGTACCCCATGGCAACTTTCGCCCTCCTAAATACCAATTTTTTTCGGGGCCCTTCAGAGGGCCCCGAACCCCCCCCCAAGTTTGGGGGGGGTCGGCTTCCGCATCCCCGGGCCCCCCCCCCCCCCCTTCAAATAATCCTGGATCCGCCCCTGGTATGCCCTGTTAGGTTTTAGATATCCTCTTCTACCTCTTAAAAGACCATGCACCGAGCAAAACGATACAAAAACCAAGCGATTTCCCAATCATTGTACATTTTATGGTAGGTCGTCTTGTCTACTGTTTTTTCGTCCTTGTGACCAACTCCTGGATCCGCCATTGTCGATATTGTCTGGTTTCTCAGCACTTTCAATGATCAAATATACGATCTTTTGTAGAGTTCTAATCGATATCTATATGTATGACAACGAGCCACTGACCGAGTCGTACAAAAAATCATTAGATTTTTTACAAACTCTGCTATTAAGCACACGCCATATATGTGGATTATTGCAGATCACCGGCGAGAAATGTCGAGCACGTTGAGAAATTCTCATACTGGTAATATAAAATGGTATTGTTGAGAACCCAAAGCTAATTCATTTGCTGCATATTTTACACACAAATTCTTCGTACCGCTCCACCAAGAAAATGTTAAGTGAACGTACTTGTGTGTGCACGAGCACAAAACAAAGCAACAATCGGTTTATTTTTTGTTAAATTATGAATTAAGTTTAAAGCATAACATAGGCGTTGCGGTGATGTTTACGCACGATGTCACGCACGTATACGCAAAAATACAGGGTGTCTCAGTAGGCCTATAAAAGGTAACAAAAGAACGCACACACATTTATTTTCTGTTTTATACAAACTATATACAACCCATATATTTCTAAAAATCGAAGAAGTCAACAAATCTACTGCTATTAACAACATGCCAATAGCTCTACTGGCAAAGATTTTTTTTATGTTTGCAGCTGATGAGTCGGCTAGAAAAGTTCTGAGACATTCTGTAG